TTTGAAAATTTTCTGCATCAAAATAAACTCTGTCTAATCTCTTTTGCTGAAGTGTTTAACGCCTCTTAACGATTATATTAAAAAGAGCAGATGAGCAGTAGACGCTCACTCTCAAGTTTTTTCTACGAACACGTGCCTATAGACATAATGAACCGCACTCACACATACACACACGCATACATATATGTATGTGTGTGTACACTTAGACTGAATAGAGAGAAGACATTTATAGACTGAACAGACAGTAGAAAATCTATTTTTAATTAAAAACAAAGAACAGAAAACATTTGAACTAATCTGATATACATACATACATACATATATATATATATATATATATATATATATATATATATATATATTAGACCTGGGTTCGAATCTTACGATAGTTGATTTGTCAAGAAGACTCCCTGATGTTATCAGTCTTGTTGAAGCTTGGATAAGCATGGAATAATAATAATACAACACAAAATGTACGTAAACAAAATGTATTGAAACAATGAAAAAGGTACACAATATTTACAGTTAGTTTTGATATATTCTTGGGAAGACTGTTCCTGTAGAATGGGTTGACTTAAACGCAGTTGGGCAGAGTCTCTGGATTGGATCTCTTCTTACTTCCTCCATCGTCTTCCCGGTACCAACCCATATTTATATGGTCGGTACGCCACTATGTAAATTAGGTGGATCGTACCACAACAAGTCTGGAGTGGGGAATCGATCCCAGCGCGCGGTACCTTTGGAAAGTGCCTGAAAACCATACCACGGGTTACCCCAAGCCCTGTGAGTGAAATTGGGTAGACGGAACACTTGGGGACCGTCGATAGCTGTGCTAGCACGAAGTCACAAGTCATCGTGACCGAGAGTTTGAGTGTTCTGGCATCGTTCAGATTGCTGGTCACACTAGATAACACACTCTCACTCAGAAACTGTAACTAGGGTCTGCTCATTATAGTTGTAGTATAAACCATAGGTTGGCTCTGTGGATGTTGAACAAACACAAAATGTGCCTGATCGAGCGTCTGCAATAGGGATTGGCCAGCCGCCCTGATAGACGGATATCCTCGAACACGAGTGAAGGGCTATTTATATATATATATATATATATATATATATATATATATAATTAGGAAAATCCTTAAAAATCAATTGTCAGTAATAAATTTATTTCGATGAATATAGGCATATTCATCTCATCAGACCAACTGCATTTTATGAAATGGAATCACTATATGCAGGCAGATATACAAAGATATAAAATAAGAAATAGAAAAATAAAAAACAAATAAGAAGAAAAATACAAGATGAAACAATAGGAAAAATAAATTAACCTAAAAATACATTTACAAGAGAGAACAAGTTAATATATCGGGTTAGGAGTGGGTATATATTAGGGTAGGAAAGTCAAATTTAAAACTGAGTTACAATAATGTGTCAAATAAAGTTCACAAAAGGAGACAGTTAAAATGGTGTCTATTTAGACGACATCATCATTATCATATAATACAATCATCATCACATACTACTACTAATAATAATAACAATAGAATTATGAGAAAAATATATATAATATAATATATTATATATAATATAAATATATAAATATATATATTATATATAATATAAAACATAAATATATACATATGTGTACCTGTGTTCGTATGCGGCCACGGGGAGCCCTCAACCAAAACGCCGTCTATTAATTCTCTCTATGACTTAGGCTCCTCTTTTCTAAAACGATTCTTTAAATAACTGTCTGTATCAATTTTTTTCACGTTTGCAAACAGAATGCAAGTGTAGAGTTTTGAGATTCTCTTTTCAGCGGTTTAGCAACGCTCTCATACTTTGAGGGTTTGCACTATCTATTCTGGAACCACACTATACACACACACACATGCAAACGCAGACACAAACACACACACACATATATATATATATATATATAAAAGTGAACATAGAAGTCAACACTTAGAGGCGACGGTCTGTTTCATGCTAGACGCAATCGTCAGCCCACCGCCTGACGATTGCCTGACGATTGCGTCTAACATGAAACAGACTGTCACCTCTAAGTGTTGACTTCTATGTTCACTTTTATATATACACACGCTCTATCTCTGATATTGAGCACTTTATCCCATAAATATAGCACATCTTAAGACTATATTTCTTCATATATATATATATATATATATATATATATATATATATATATATATATATATATATATATAATAACACAGAGGGTGCGATCGATAAATTGTCGTCTAAATTACGCAAAAATAAAAATAACACTGACATCTCATTTTAACAGGTATATTTAACAAAATCTCACAAATATGAAGTAAATTTAGTCAATAAAATCGCCATTGGCTTCAATCACAGCCTCCAGACAAATTCGGAATGTCCTGCATCTCTTCCGGGTGGACTTCTATTTTTAATTGGTGATTGTTGACATAAACGTTGTCTTCAGTTCATCTTTGGTGTTACAAAGAGTTTTGCTGGTCTCTCGCTCAACTGTTCCTCACTCATAATAATCAAGAGAGTTGCAGTCTAGGGGAGTTAGGTAGCCAGATGTAAGGGGTGATGTGGTCGCAGAAATAGTCTGACAGCCATGACTAGGCTCTCCTCATTGTGTGGCATGATGCAGAGCCATGTTGCCAGAAAATAGAGTCTTCCAGCAGCCATCATCTTGACCCAGGGCAACACTACCTGGTCAAGGCACTTGATGTAGGCCTCCAAATTTGTGAGTTCTTTTCTTGATCAGTGTGTGTGTTTCTGAGCTGTTATACCTTCGTAAACACCATTAGACCCATCCAAATCTTTCCGAATCCTCTTCATTGTCCTCAGATTGACTCTCAAACAGTTTGAAATGTTCGTCCTTGAGCTTCCGGTGCGAATGCCATGCAGTAAAGCATGTCGTTTCGAAATTTCTGGCGGAGTGAATTGCGTCATGGTGCTTTTTTTTTTTCTCAAAGAAGTCGCCCACCTGACTTTACTATACTGTGCAGTCGACAAAATCAAAAACAGTCCACATTCGCTAAATTAAAAATATAAAATGGCGGCAATTTACTCATCGGACCCTGTCGATATATATGTATCGTTCAAGTTACAGCATATATACACAGGATTGATATTCTGTTAAGTTTTTGCTAATTTGTGATTAACCTTATTTTATTTTTTTTCATATTTTAATTGTTTTATTCTATTCATTCACGGTCTCGGTCTTTTCATCTCCTGGCCTTGTAAACATCTTTGAACAATCTGTCATAACAAAGACACTGCCACTTGACATCGCCCGTAATCGAATATGGCGAGGGAAAAAAATTATCTTCACTCATAACGCAGATATCTTATGATGATAATGTGGATAATTTTTGACTTCCTCTTGTATATATATATATATATATGTGTGTGTGTGTGTGTGTGTGTGTGTGTGTGTGTGTGTGTGTGTGAAAGAGAGAAACCAAGTGATACCGTTAGTGCAGATACGCAACTAAATGCCTCACCAGTCACGATTTCTCCCACGGCGTTTGCAGTCGGTATTCGAATTGAGATGAAAGCACGATTCACTGTCGTCTCCGCTTTCATTTTGTCAGTCTGTTTTCACAGATTTTATCGTTAACTGCCACTAGAGAAATGGAAGCGAGTATAAAATCAAACCTTTAAACGTTGAAGATAATCTTAAAAGCAATTATATGTCTTTATGTTCCATTGGTGAGTTGCACGTTCCACTCGAGTAGTTTCTTTCAACGAATCACTGCTTTATGAAATCAACACCCAAGTCGTTGTTTCCCCGATCACACTACAATCTTAGCATGTTCAAGTCTAGAGTTAAACAGTTTTCTTCCCCACATAAACCTTGCATTTTTTTAAAACCATCTAACATGAATAGCTCTTGGGCCTTGTAGAGGGTGAACATCATTGTAAAAAATATACACATTAACTAGTACCCTTGTCTTCTTCTTCTTCTATGTGCCGTGTCCCTTCGAGGCGTTGATAATCATAACTCTCCACAATTTCTTCTCCTTTGTAGCTCTTAATAAATTTTGTCTTTTTATTATCTCTCCTAAACTTTGTTTCGCCATTCATCGCTAGGTAGGTTATATGTTGTTTTTCTCTGTCTCGCTTGCCTTCCCTCTGAGTATCAAATTTTCCAAACCATCTTTCCTCGTGTACCCTTTTTGTTTCCATTTTCTCTAAGGCATCATCGTTGCACACACGTTCGGCCCATGTTATTCGCAGCATTCTTCTATAGAACCACATTTCTGTCGCTTCAAGTCACTTCTACATATGTGAGGAGATTGTCCAGCATTCACGGCCATATAGAAGGACTGATATTACGTAACAGTTCAGTACATATTTTCTTGTTTCTAACGAAATTCTTCTGTTTCTTACTACTTTGCCTATCTTTTGGAAGGCAACTTTTGCTGTCCCAAAGCGCTTTCGGGTTTTAGTGTCGCACTTTCCATCCTCTGTTAAAACATTTCCCAGATATTTAAATTGTTGCACTTTTGGTATCTCCATCTTATCTTTCATCCAGGGCGTAGGCGATCAAGGCTCTCCACAACTTCATAGATCTTAGTAAGTAGGCATCCCTTTATCTCATTAGGTCAAAACGTTGTCCTTTGGTGTGGTCTCCACAGTGTGCAGGCCAGGGTGATGGTTTATGGAAGCCGTGCGCTGCCCACACTATATGGCCACCGTACAAGATCTAAAGGAATGTAGGGCATTCGGGACCTGCATGAAAACAGGAGTTGCCGGAAAGTTGTCAGTGTTGACAGCCAGTCTGGGTTTTCTGTCTGAATTTACCTCCATAGCCCTTTTCCTATTTGGATATGACGGAGGTTTAAAATCGGGGTTTTCCTTCCTGGGCTGTCGTGTTCCATCTGCTCGAAGCTTGTTGTCCGCCTTCGCCCATTCTCCGGCTTGGAGTTAGACTTAATTGTCACAGGTTATTTGAGACGCATGCGACTTTTTAACGAATGCCAGAAATGCCAGAAATGCCAGACGCTTTTTCTTTCATTCCCACTGTCAATTTTGGTTTTCGGGAAGGTTTGCAGGATATTAGTTGAAATTCATTAGAATACCATGGACTGAACATGTGAGCAACGACGAAGTCTTTGAGAAAATGGAAGCAAAAAGGACACTTAACATCAGAAAGAGACAGTTGGCACATAATATAGAGAGAGGGCTTTGAAAATCTTACCTCTTCCCTTTTTATGGGTAGCGGCTCGGATTGAGGAATCGGTGAGCCGAGTTCGAATTCCAGCCAAACCCATTACATTCACCTACGTGCTTGGGAAAGGTATGAACCCTCTTCTTCTCTCCCCACCTCCAGCTTTGAGTAAATAGCAGGACAGACCGGGTTCTATAGCAATGGATGGCAACTGGTCTACCGCAGAAAGAAATGGCAACCTACTGCGGGAAAAATATCTGCCTCGTCAGTCAAGTATCGAAAAGATACATGATAGCCTAATCGTGTATCATGCATGGCATATAACTGACTGACTGACAGTGAACTCTCAATAAATAAAATTCCTTTCCTAATTTCCTGCCGTGTTAGTTATCAAGCAATAGACAAGGAAAAATTTGTATGGTCTTTAAGAAATCAATCCTGAAACATTTATCGTTTTATAATAGATAATTCTGAAAGAGAAAGCGTGCTAAATAAAAACTATTCAATTCTTATTGTCTTGCTAAATAAATATTCGAGCTAAACAACCTCAGACAGATTTTTAAAATCCATATTTAATGAAATTCCAAAACAAATAAAATGTGAATTAATAAAAGAATTTTCTATAAAGCAAAAGAGAAACAACTACATTGCTATTCTTTTTAATAAAGATATTCTATTATTAATTAATTCTGGCGTGTTACGCTATCAAATTGTCACTTTGAAAAATATCAAAGAAAAATTCGGTCAGTAATAATAATCCGAGCCGCTATCCATTGCTTCACTGTGCCTCCGATATGTGATAATGTTATATATTTTATATATCAAGAACAACATTGAGGAAATTGTAAAACAATGGAAAAAAGTTTACTTATATCTCTTTTCATGCTATTGTGTTTAAAAGAGAAAATAATTCACTAATACGAAAATGTATAGAAAGTGCTCTAATCGCTCGTTCAGACACAGTAAATCGACGTCCAGATTCTTACAACATTTCACGATTCTTGGCAGATTTTCTGTTATCACAATGTGCGAAACAAAAGATGATGGAAAAAAAATAGAATATAGATGAATTTGGCTTTAATTTCGTTTGAATATTATGTCAATTTTTTTTTTCAAAAATTCTTAAACTACCAGCATCTCTCGTTCATACGCAAGTGTACTCACAACGACGTTAACAAATACAGACCGATTAAGTCCGAGCGGGAGAAACGCGTTACAATTAAACTTTTACAATTTTGTCTTACAATTTGCCCTAGGAATATATATATATATATATATATAGGAATAATACAAAATATATATATATATATATATATATATATATATAGAGAGAGAGAGAGAGAGAGAAAGACAAAATACAAATATATATATATATATATATATATATATATATATATATATATATATATTTAGGAATAATACATACAAATATAAAATTTATCACTTATTTGATTGATATTACCTTCAGCATCCCGAATGTAGGGTTTCGTAGATGGACCCTCCAGCAATCCCTCTGTCTACTCGTCAGGGGATATGAATTGAGATGAAATATAGATTGGAATCCGACAAAAAGATAGCATAAGGAAAAAAAGTAAGAAACGTTTATAGATCTGACATGTTTCGCTTTTATTAAAGCTTCCTTCGAGAAGGAAATTTGGAGGAGAAAAAGAAATAAAATTATGTCCGTGTCTGTGAGATTGATTGTTTTGATTGTTTTGATTTGTTTATTTGATTTGTTTTTTACGGTTTAATTATTTAAATCCAGAAAATAGTTTTAGATTGTAAGAATTTTGGGGAGGCGATTATAATTTTTACTGATACACAACTTACTAATTAATCCTTAGCTGGGCGGTAGGGAGGGAAGATGGATTGATTTGTTTTTACAATTTAACAACCCTTTGCAAGTTAGTTACAGTCAGAAATAATTTTAGTTTGTAAGAATTTCTTTTGGAGGCTATAATGATTTTTACTGATACACGTCTTACTAATTAATTCATAGCTGGGGTGGAGAGAAAAGATGGATTCATGCCTTTCCTAAGGTTAGTTGCGCATAAGTGAACCTAACGAACCCAACTGGAATTGGAACTCGGTTTTCCGATTTCCAATTCCGAGACATTATTCATTACACCACCAGCACATCCATTCTTACAGCACCCAACATTCGCAAGCTATCACCCATCTAATTACTGTCCAGGCTCGACGTTACTTAACTTCAGTGATCGTACGAGAACAGGTTTTTCAACGTGTTGTGGTCGAAAGCCTGTATGTGTTTGGGCGTGAATGCGTGCAGTGGTACGTATGAATAGCAAGATATAACTAAGCCATGATTTCAAATAATGACATGTTGCTAGGTGTCGACATCTTTCCAGTTAAAACTAAGTGAAGTCATGTTGTCTTTAACTCTTCACTAATCCGAAAAGATCAAACAATAAAATTCACTTTGATTACAGAATTGAAAGTTTACCAAAACGAAGCATTTTTATGAAACTTAAAACATCGTCGGAAATTTTAGGAAATGTCTTCAAGACATTTAAAGAAAATTAATTTAAATTATATTTCGTTTCTGTCCATTTTTTTTTTTTGTCTCTTTCAGTTTCTCATGAAGTCATGTTTCTGGGTTATATGCGAGGGGGAGTAGGTGTGCCTATTTTTATTACACTAAACTTTATCCAATAGCTAGAATGGCTCGAGAGCAACTCTAGCTAGAGTGTTACTGTTGAAATGGATATGATGAATGAGTTGTGATATGAATGAAAAGGCGGTAGTTGATAGTGAAGATTATGAAGATAAAGAGAACAAATAACGATAAACGTTTGTCTTGAGGAGATTAGGATTATAATGTTCAGGGAAGCACACATGCGGGAGTCTGTTGCACAAATTAGCAGTTCTTGGGAAAATCTGTCTGACTGGAATATTCTTCTTACATTCCGAATACGAAGGAAACAAAGGTGATTCAAATCCGTGGACGTAACATGACGTCTCCTAGCCGTAAGGATCTGACCCGGTGGAACTAAAGAATGGAGTCCATTTTAACATTTGCCATGAAAATAACGATAATGTAGCGATAGTCTTGACATGTTGCGTCTGTAGGAAAGATTGTGGAATGTGTGTGACTTCGTATATGTGTATCTGTACGAAGAGCTTTTAATAACAACTTTGGAATAGAAGCGTTTCGACTAGTGAACCCCATCATCGTGTGTACCCTCGACTTTCTAAATGTTATTAATGCCACCCGACTGCTTATTATCTTTTGAAAAATTTCTTATTTCAAACTTCCTGCAAAAAACATTCAATTCTAAGAATGTGATCGTTTCAAATTGCGAAACTGCTTATTTAAACCCAACCCTTTTACTATATTTCGAAAAAGTTTATATATATATATATATATATATATATATATATATATATATATATATATTCTAACCCATCCTTTTATTAAAAAACTGAAAGAACACTACATTTCGGTCGATTAACTCATCAGTTTTGATCAGGTCTGTAATCGGAAGCACTATGTCCGTAACAGGTTCACTCCGTAAAGCAAATGAAACCCTTATATGCGATCCACCGCTAAAGATGCTGGGAAAATGGTCGGTTCAATGTGCAGCTTAGCAAAAACCTTTTGACCAAAAATAAAATTTGGTCGCCATATCTAGGATAGAGCTGTCTAATTCTCACTTTCCATCTATTACAAAGTGTATGTGTCCTTGTGGCTGATGGATCATTTTCTACCCTACAACCACTTCCCCAAAGACGAATCAATTGTTAGTCTCTCGCGAGTGTTTTGCTATTTTCATGGCAAACGTTCGAACAAACTCTTTAGTTCCACCAATTCTAAGCTTCACTGCTAGCTTCAACCATGCCACATATAATGTCAGCTCATCCTCATTCCCTTCGTGTTCCATTGATAAGGAGGAATTTCCACTCAAACATCTTTCTGCAGTGAGTCAGAGCATATGCCATATATATATAATTACCATATGGAAGCCATTAATAAATAAGAGACAAAAGCAGGTCGAGCATTACGATGATATTCACTCTGAACAAGGCTCAAGAGCCACTTTAGATAGAGGGCTACATGTCTTAGTGGTAAGGAGCAGAGTGTATGAAGATATGTGGGTAAGAGAACGGTTAACGTTAGATTATAATGATCGGAGATAGGAAGTTGTGGAGAACCATGATCGCCAACGTTATGAAAGAAGAAGACCCAGTTAACCTAAAAAGAAGTGATGATAAAACAAGAAAGTGTGCCATTTATCACATCTGAAACAGGAATAGATTTAAAGAGGTCATTCTCGCTTGAATATATCGTTATGAAATGGTGTTGACGGCTTTTTATTCATGTAGTATTTTATTATTAATGCGTTTAACACATAATTTGACAAATTGCTTTTATTTTTAGAAGCAACTGTTCCTGTTGCAGTTATTGATTTCCGATGTGATAAGCAGGCTCAGAATGGGTGAGAAATTTGATCTGAACCTCATCTTTAGACTAAGCCATGTTCTCGAATGTCGACAGCGACATTTGTGCAGAGGCACATGTTCAGATTTGAGTTTTATTGCATTCGTTCTTTTTTGCTACAACAGTAGTTTTCCTACTTTATCTTCATCTCTCGATCACATATCTCCCTTTTACGTTGCTTTCAAAAAACTATCCGATTTTTTAATTTTATTTTCTAATCTCTTCCTTGTATTTTTTCCACTTTCCGCTTAATTTTTTCGTTCCTTATATTCTCTTTTTCATCCGTTCTAATACCACCTTTCTTTCCTCTTTCCTTCTATTGTCCCGTTTTCATCCCTTATTTCTTACTTTTTCACCCTCTCTTTTTTTTCCTTCTTCTTCCATTCATGCATTCATTCTCTTCATTTCTTCTAATCCTTAATCTTTATTTATTTTCTTTCAGATTTTCTTTCTTTCTTTCTTTTTCTCTTTTCATCCCTTATTTATTACTTTTTCACCCTCTCTTCGTTTCCTTTTTTTTCCAAATTTATTTATGAATTCATTCTTCCCGTTTAATCATTAATCTTCATTTATTTTCTCTCAGATTTTCTTTCCTTACTTTATTCGTTTGCTTCCTTTTCTTTCCACTCATAATCTTTCCTAATATTTCTCTCTTCTTTTTCCACTTTCAATTATTCCTTCTTCCTTCAAACTTCCCACATCTTAAAGCCGCTGCCGTATTTGCTCAGATTTCGTAGATCTCTGGTAAATTACCAATTTTGAATTATGCCATCTCATTTCACTGCCGACAGCCAATAAATTTCTTTGCGAAGACAAATTCTGACCATTCAAAAATAGCTTACCGAGCTTAACGAATTTACCTGTTTGAAGTAAGGAAAACCGTTTTACTTATATGTGCATGCATATATGTAAGCATTTACCAAGTTAAGCCTGGCACAAATCCCCAGTTCTGAGTATCTCAGTGGCAGATCGAATTGACTAATTTTTAGACTTATGGATTTTATAAGCTTTTCTTCTTGCGTCGAAAATAAAATGAGGGGGTTAGTGAAAGTGTTCCAATGTTTTTTTAATATAATTATGATAAAGGTATGACGTGTTTATAATTTTTTAATTATTTCACGCCAGGCAAGGCGATAGATGCAAAAGGTTATTGAGTGTCAGAGGATATAAGAAAAAGAAAACATTATAAAAAAAGAGAGTTTTTGGTTCCAGGTTTGGTTTGGTTTGGTTTGGTTTGGTTTGGTTTGGTTTGGTTTACCGCATATCAACCTCAATGGGGTATTTAATGCCGACAACATTTTTATTGCTGGTAATATTTTTTTTCTTCAAAAAATGTATTGCTGGTAATAATGTATTGCTGGTAATAATTTTTTTTGCAAAGTATTTCTGATATTAAAACCTATTTTTATAGTGTTTTAACCCCAGTTTTGGCGTTAACTATTTGCGCATACTTGGGTCCTTAACAGATGTTACCACCTCGGGTCAGCGTGGACCTGGGAACACCAGCAATTAAGAGGTGGTTCCACGCTCCTCAAAACCTCCTGATCAGAGACATTGTTGCTGGACGTAGATGTAGTTTATCGTCATACCCAGGACAATAAAAGGAGAGAGAACAATAAATGAACAGGAATTAAGAAGACAGAAAATAACAATTTACATTGAATTTGAATATTTTGAAGATCAAAATTGTTTGGTAAGCAAACAGCCAGAAACTTGTTTCACAAGCGAGAAGTACATTCAAGTGAGAGAATATTCTATGTCTTAGATAGAAACGTATAATTGATTTTATTTATTTAGTTTGTTGTGATTGAAATAGAAATTAATTAGGCTGTTTGTTAGTTTACGGTAAACCTTCAAATTTAATTTTTATTGTTTCAGAATATGTCAACTAATAAATTTATTCATTTATTCATTTCACTTAATCAGTCATCTTCATTTATTTTCTTTCTGATCACAACAAATATTCTCTCATCTAGTAAACGTTATTGATTCTTTTCTTTTTCTTACACTGATTTCAGTAACAAATTTGTTTTACTGATGGGAAGCTCTATAAACAATGCTCGTACATGACTATTCCTAGAATTATTATAAACATAACTTACCTATTTAAATATAACTTACCTAAAACTCCACTTCTCCGTCACTTTCACTCCCTGTAATCCTTTGCGTACTACTGGCATTCCAAACTTGCTTAGGGTGAAATAATTAAAAACGAAATTGTACAATGGAAACACTATGGGGAATTAATTCTGTTATTCTCAACTGAATATTGCTTATATATTTGTTACATAACAAAATACTTGACACGTTTGTTTCGTCTTTTGTTTTAAACTTTACAGTCTTGGACGTTGGTTGGGATATTCAATATGGCGTCTGTTATAATTCAATGTTCTCTCAAAGTAAATAAAATTCCTGATTGCACCAAATGTTTTCTCATCTAGTAAAGGTTATGCCGACATTTGGACTGATCGAGAATTCTCAACTGGTTGATCTCTTTCTTGAGCCTTGTCGTCTTTCCAGATCAATGGCCGACACTGTTATGTACACTGTACCCGCTACAATATGCCGCTAAATCTATGCATTGAATTTGTACAAAACTGGGTCTGAAATGACTTGGAATTTGGGAGACACTGTTTTGACTTTAGCTTACTAAGACACGTTGCCATCTGAACTGGAATTAAAGAAAATGTGTCTTTGTCACCAATTCAATTTAGAGCTCATGGTAATTTTTCACCTTCGTGTCCGCGTAGGCAAAAACATTGTGTCAAAAGGGTGGTTATTCCATTGACACTAATATTACTGTATACACTTTTGGTTCCCACAGCAACGTTTATTTACAAGATTATAAAAATATGTGAACCAAGTATAATGTGATATTTATTTACTTTTTATAAAGATTTATTATTTACCATTTTATAAAGAAATAAATTTGAAAATAATTATTTTTATTAAAAATTTATAAAAAATTAAAAAGTTATATATCATTAACCAATTACAATGCAAAATTTATTATTTATCATTTAAATTATGAAAACTATTTTAGTCGATTTATCTGCGAGAACACATGAAAGGAATGCCTGGAAAAGGCATTTTTTCAAAATTTATGATTACGATTACTCGTCACTATGCGTTTTGTGATGAAGTTCTTAAGTCATTAGTGGAAAGCAATCCACAGAAAAATACACGCGAATTAGCAAAGACGTTAGACACATCACAATCTACTATATAACCGATACTTTGAAAAGATAATAAAAAATTGGTTTGCAAAGATTCGTTCTGGAGAAACGTCGTTGAAAGATGAATCCAGACCACGGCGGTTATCGGAATTTGATGATAATGGTCTAAAGTCATTTGTAGAAATCAATCCACAGTAAAGTACTCGGGGATTAAGAAAGACGTTAAACACATCACATTCTACTATATGCCGACACTTAGAAAAGATAAGAAAACATTGGTTTGTAAAGATTTATTCAAGAGAAACATGACTCCCAGACCGCGGAGGTTATCGGAATTTGATGATGAAGTTCTTAAGTCATTAGTGGAAACCAATCCACAGAAAAATACACGCGAATTAGCAAAGACGTTAGACACATCACAATCTACCATATACCGATACTTAAAGAAGATAATAAAACATTGATTTGTAAAGATTCATTCTGGAGAAACGTCGTTGGAAGATGGACATAAAACCTGGGGGTTCATTGAACTTTTGTGATGAATCTTTAAAGTCATTAGTGGAAACCAATCTAAGAAAAAGTACTCTCGAATTAGTAAAGACGTCAAAAACATCACAATTTACTTAGTGGACACTTGGAAAAGATAATAACACATTGGTTTGTAAAGTTTTATTCTAGAGAAACATCGTTGGAAGATGAACCCAGACAGATGCGGTCATCGGAATTTGATGATGAAGTTCTTAAGTCATTAGTGGAAAGCAGTCCACAGCAAAGTACTCGCGAATTAGTAAGGACGTTAAACACATCACAATTTACTATATGTGGACACTTAGAGAAGATAAGAAAACATTGGTTTATCCATGGAAAATTCAATACAGATAAAACAAATGGGGTCTTATTTGAGCTACCAGTGGATGAACATGTAGGTGTGTGTGTGTGCGTGCGTTAAACGTGAGAAAGACGAAACACGAGAGAGCGAGAGACAAAGATAGAGAGAGGGAGGGAGAGAGAGAGAAGTCATACATTTCTTAACTCCACTAATGGATGAAGTGAAAGTGAATTTACGTCACATAATGTTAAGGAAGAAAAGGAATAAACGTGGGATATGGTTAGCTCTGGATTGAAGCGCTCACTTCAGCTACCAGCCGCGGTATTGTAAATCTTAGACGACCGGGGAGGGTGTTGTACGATTACATATCACCCTAACTAGTAATCATACACGGAAAGAGAGAATTAATTTTAGTACACCAATATACGCTATGGAGACATCTTGAAAATATGTAATCTATATGCTCAAGGAGTCGTAAGTGACCAGCAAGTACAAAATTGGTTTGTAAAGTTCTGTTCTGGAGAAATGTCATTAGAGGATTAACATCAGGTCGCTGCGGTTATCGGACTTTGACGATGAAACTTTAAAGTCATTTTTGGAAAGCAATCCACGGAAAAATACACGTGAATTAGCAAAGTCGTGAGACATATCAGTATCTACCATATACCGACACTTAAAAAAGATAAGAAAACATTGCTTTTCTGTAGACCTGTTGAAACTTGACTAATGCATGGAATAATAATACAACACAAAATGTACTTAGAACAAAATGTATTGAAACAAGAAAGTGTACACAATATTTACATATAGTCTTTTGTATATTCTTAGGAAGACCGTTCCTGGAGAATGTGTCGCAGTCGGGCAGAGTCTCTGGATTGAATCTCTTGATTCCTCTCACCGTCTTCCCGGTACCAACCATATTTATATGGTCGGTACTCCACTATGCAAATTAGGTGGATCCTACCACAACAAGACCCTTCTTCAGAATATCAATCTAGAATGTGGCGTTAAACGTATCACAATCTACCATATGTCAACATTTACAAGAGATAGGCAATGTCAACAAGTTGCTTGTTTGAGTTTCCACACAGTGTTCGTCAAAAAGAACAAAGCGGTTCGTTTATACATGGCAATATTTTCTTTTCACAACAGGGAAATAAACTTTTCCTTAAACATCGATTGATTGATTGATTTTTTTTACTGCTTATTAACTATTTGCAGGTTATTTAAAGCTACAAAATATTTTTAGATAGTAATTTGTTTTAGATAAAAATACGTTTCTCAATGATATTTGCGCGTAAATGGATATAACGAATCCGACCGGAGTTAGCGAAATCTAAAATATGCCGACACTTAGAAAAAATAAGAAAAAATTGTTTTGTAAAGTTTCGTTCATGAGAAACGTCGTTAGAAGATGAACCTAGACCAGGTTGTCCATAGGACTTTGAGGATGAAGCTCTAAAGTCATTTGTAGATAGCAATCTACGACGGCAAAATACTCGGGAATTAACGAAGTTGTTAAATACATCACGATGTACCATATACCGACGTTTAGAAAAGGGAAAGGACAAAAAATAGCAAACTAGGTGTTTGTGTTCGTCAAGCTCCTAGCAAATATACCAAACCAGATCGTTGATAAACGAAACGTATGTAAATTATTTATGACTTCACCTAATATGTCCTAAATGGCTGGACAAAGCGCGCACTCAAACACAGACACACACACAT